CAAGGGAGAGCGAGAGAAAGGCATGGGGGAACGAGAGGGAGATATATATAGATAGATAGATAGAGGGCTGACCTACTCTTCACTGTTCCCGCCCCCTTCCCCTTCCCCCCGCCCCCCTGTAATCGTGTGCTGCTGCTGCTGCATCGGATGTAAGCTCCTTCAGTGCTGCACTCGAATCCCCGCTGCCTTCTGCTGCCTCTTCATTGCCGTTGCATTTGTGATTCGATTTGATTTGGCTGAATGGATAGATTATGGTCTTTCCCCCCTGTCCCCCCCTGTCCCCCTCCCCCTCCCCCTGTATCCCTTATCTATATCGTATGGGAAATCTAGGTTAGTTGGAGATTGTAGCGTACAAGGGCTGCTGCTGATGGCTTTGGACCAAAAATATTAGTGCAATATTATCTGCACCCCCATTTCCCCTCCCTTATCTACTGATGCCCCCCCTCCCACATTTTCAGGCGTTTCAAAATATGATATTCCCCACAATGAATGAATGGTATTAAAATTCCCATAGTGGGGGATTTATGCACTCGTAATGGGAAGGATCCAGGATTAAGCTTTAATGAGAGAAAAAAAAAACAGGGGTTTTCCCTTTGGAGAGTGGATAAACTTTTATTTTATTCCGCGAAAAACTTTTCTTTTTTTTGCAAGGCCTTAAAAAAAGATATAATAAATATTTAAATTAGCCGCTAAGCCACACTGGGAAAGAGAGAAGAGAGAACAGCAGGTCAAAAAGTAAACAGCAAAAAAAAATAACTAATTGCAGGACCACAAAAAAAAAAAAACTTTAACAAATGAGAAAAACTAAAAAAAAAATAAACTGGGTTTTTCCTACTTCGATTTCATTTCTATGAAAGTTTTCCACACAAAGAAACGGCTCAACTTTTTACTGGAAATTTTTCCTGGCTTTTTTTTCTCGATTCGAATTTTTTCCACCAATTCTGCAACGAAATGTGTTCTTTTTAGGAACTCGATTTTGTTTGGGATTAGGTCTGGATGTTGCGGAAAAGTTTTCCACTTTATGAAGCTTTTCCTAGAACAGATTTTCTTTCGTTGGAAGATCAAGGAAAAACGTGAAATGTTTGTGGATTTTAAAGCCCAATTACAAAAATACTTTTATTAGCGTCTAAAGCAATTTCCGACAGATTTTTGCCAACATAAATTATCAACCTGCCAGCGTGCTTAGAGGGGGGGTAAAACTCAAGGGGGGTAGGGAAGTGTTGGCACCCTTTAAGCCCCTGACTCGTGACCTTTTTGGCAGCATTAAGAGTGATAATTCTCCCTCGAGAAACGAGAAGGAAGCAAGACTTTTATTATTTAATTTAACTCTGAAAACTTTTCGTGCTAATAAATTAAACACAGCAGGGGGCCACGCTAGCCACGCCCACTATTCAAGCACATATGCAAAAAAAAGAGGAAAAAAGAGGGGATTAAGTGCCAAAAGATTTTCCCTTTTTTTTTGGGAGTTTTTCAATTGGATTTTCGTCATTGCTAATAAAAATCAAATGAATCTTACGCCAGAGGGGGGAGGGATAAGGAGGGGGGGAAACTATAGTTTGTGAAATGTTTTGATTCAATTATTGCGCATATGGAAAAGGATACTGCAGGATGCAAGAGCAGACATTTATTCGTTTATATTTCGTTTGAAATTAAGCTGTAAGTCCTTGCTTTATTGAGAGAAAAGGAAAGACGCTTTGTGTGGAGGAAGCAAATTTGCATAATAAATCTATTTTCAATGGATTTTCTTTGCGTCCTTTAAAGCCAAAGACACGCCCCCGCCCCATCCTTTGGTGTGTTTCAGCTTGAAGCCGTCTCTGGGAAACTCTCAATTTCCATCCCTGTATCTGTATCTGTATCTGTGTGTACACTCTCATATGTGCAACCATTCATCGCCTTAACTGCCGCTCAAAGTGGAAGGTTCTAGCTGCAATATTGAATGTTTTTCGTTTTTGTATTTGATAGGGGGCAGGGGGCTCCGAATGCGATTGAAGGGGGTCTTTAAAAAGGGACGGGGATGGGGCTTAGAAATGGAAGAGAAAAGTGAATGCAATTTAAGGACTTTAATGGGGAAATTTAGGCGTAAAAAACTCATTAAAAACGGAAGAACCACAGAAAAGCGACCGAAGGGCACTGCTGCATGATGCGTGGGATTATAGAAAATAAAAAGGAAAAGAGAATATAATTGTACCACTAAAATGTAGCTATAAAAATACTAAAATTAGGTATAAATATGCGGAAAAAATATACCGAAATTGGTTATAAATATACGGAAATATATATTGAAATTAGGTATAAATATAAGGAAATATATACAGAAATTAGGTATAAAAATCGGAAATATTTACATAAATTGGGTATAAATATGCGGAAATATATACTGAAATTAGGTATAAAAATGCGGAAATATTTACAGAAATTGGGTATAAATATGTGGAAATATATATTGAAATTAGGTATAAATATGCGTAAAATATTTACTGAAAATAGGTATAAATATGCGGAAATATATATTGAAATATGGTATAAATATGCGGAAATATATATTGAAATTAGGCATAAATATGCGGAAATATATACTGAAATTAGGTATAAATATAAGGAAATATATATTGAAATTAGGTATAAATATGCGGAAATATTTACTGAAATTAGGTATAAATAGGCGGAATTATATACTGAAATTAAGTATAAATATGCACAATAAAAAAATAAAAATAAAATAAAAATAAAAAAAGCTACAGAAAGAACCAGAAACTTCCTCACCTATGATAAGAACGCAAAACACCCGATGGTCGCTGTTGCATGACGACTAATAGGTATAAAAACGTGACTTTGGTCTGTTTATAAATGATTAGATTGTAAATAATGGTTGTATATATCCCAAAAACCTCCCAAGCCCGACCGAGGAGCTGCTGTATCAAGAATAATGATTCAGAAATGAACCTCCGACCTCCCCCCAAAATTCCACCCAAGAAAACACCTAACTCGGTTTTTTTTTATAATTTTTATAATTTTTTGCAACTTTATTATTTACTTAAATTTCATTTTTCTTCTTAAATGTCTGCCACTCTTTGCGTCTGATTTAATTTTTAGTTTTGTTTTTTTGTTACTGATTTTCACTATTTCTGTTTCATTTTAGTTTGGGGAATTTTCACTGGCTTTAAACACTAGAGAATCCCGTTACGCACACTTTTCCAATGCCATAAATTTTCATGAATTTTTCCCAGTTTTAATTATATCGTTATGCAGCACTCTATATAAATACTCGTATATGTATTATTATTACATATTATTTTATATGGTTTTTTTTTTGTTGTTGTTTATTTCGCTATTTATGCTAGAGGTTTACATCATTACAATTGTGGATATATATATATTTATAGATGCATGTTTTTTTATATTTTCAATTGGTTTTTCCATTTTCATTCCTGGATTCGGTTTTATTTGCCTCTGAATGCGTTTTTATATATATTTTACAAGTGGTTTTTCATGAAATTGTTTGCAATTTTCGCACGGTTTTCACTTTAATGATCTCTCTCTCGTTTTGCTCTTTTTTTTTTTAAATATAATTTCCATTTTAATTACAATTTTCGGGGCAATTGTTGAAATTATGAATAACAGAACAGCAGGGGGAGTGGGGCGGGGGGCTGAAAATTATGTATTTTTCCGACTGCTTATTTCTAATGGAATTTTTAACTACATTTCCACACAGAACTTCCTAGAAAAAGACAGACTGAGAGAGAGAGAGGGAGAGAGGGCGACGCTTGTACGAGTTTATATCGTTTCGTATTTAAATTTAATGGCTATATAAATATTTATTTAGTTACATAACAAAGTAGCCTGCATGCTTAATTCTAACAGTTTAAATTTCCTTTTGTTTTCCTCCTCCTCTCTCTGGCCAAAAGTTTAGTTTTTCCATTCAGAGCCACGGCCAGGAGGCCTCCTATACATGATTTGATTTCCTGTTCTGTTTCTGTGTGTGTTTTCCTCTGGAAATTGTATTTTCTCTGCTAAATTTCTTGTGTAGTAGATTATACATATTTCTGCCACTGCCTATAGTTTTTCCTTCTATTTTTTCTTCTATTATTTACACACAATAATCGTACTCGTACGCGTACACAATTTATAATTCAGTCTTTGGAAGAATAACATTTATGTTTCTGTTCTTTACTTTTTTTTTTGGTTTTTATTTTTTCCTAGGTTTTCTACTGAGAAATATTATACTTTAATCTAGCAACAGAACTGAGTGGGGGCAGGGGGTAGATTTCGCTCCAAAACTTGGAATTTGTGAGTGTTTTTTATTGGTCCTAATCGGGTTTGAAAAGACAGACAGTTCGTTGCAGGGCTATAAAAGGAAAGCTGTGAAACAGTTATTGGAAAAGTGATCGAATAAGTCTTGGAAATTGGTATAAATAATTGTAGAAATAATAGTGGAAAGAGTTAGTTTGAAATTGTGGTCGTAAAAGAATATGAAAATGGTCGGAAATGTAGTAAAAATATTGGTTGAAATAAAAGTCAAATTTGTTATGAATTTTGTTCAAATTCAGGTCGAATTACGTTGAAATTCTGGTCGAAATAGTGGTTTAAAATGGTCGAAAAATTGCCGCCAAAATTGTCTAAATAATAATAGAAAGTGGCCGAAAAAATGGTTGAAAAATGTTGAAAGTGCTCAAAACAAAGGTCGAAGTATAGGTCGAAAGTGGCGAAAAATATTGGTCGAATTTTAATAGAATTTTTAGCAGAAATATTTGTAGAAAAACTGGTCGAAATAAATGTAAAATGTAGTCATATTTGTATTCTTCATATAGTTGTAGAAAGTGGCTCAAAAGTGGTCGAAATATACCATTAAAATGGTTGAAAGTTGTCGAAATTGTTGTCGAAAGTGGTCGAAATAAAGGTAGAAATATAGGTCGAAAGAGGTCGAAATGAAGGTCGAAAGTGTTCGAAATATAGGTCGAAAGTGGTGTAATAGTAGTAGTAAAAATATTGGTGGAATTAATGATCGAAAATTACAAGAATTTTGGTCGAAAGTAGTAGAAATATTAGCCAAAAACCTGGTCTAAATAAATATAATATGTGGTAAAATTTAAGTTGTTGAAATAGTTGTAGAAAGTGGCTCAAAAGTGGTCGAAATATACCATTAAAATGGTTGAAAGTTGTCGGAATTGTTGTCGAAAGTGGTCGAAATATAGCTCGAAAGAGGTCGAAATATAGGTCTACAGGTCTAAATATAGTTCAAAATATACGTAAAATTATAGGTCGAAATATAAGTCGAAATTGGTCGAAATATAGGTCGAAAGTGGTCGAAATAATAATCGAAAATGGTCAAAATAATACTCATAATAATGGTCTAAATTCGAATAGAAACTGCTCGATAGTTTAATTATCGCCTGGTACCAGTTGTCAAGTTCCTATCGAATCGAATTTCTTATCGAATATCCGCTTTAAGCACAAAGAAATCAATAAAGCCCTACCCTAAAAATAAATCCCTATGATTTCTGGCAAAGAATGAATATTTTTCCAAGTTGTGGGCGCTTTTCCTTGGGCGATAATGATTCCTAACAACAATCTCTAAGCTTTAGATATAACTATGTACAATATACAATGTATATATATGTATGTATATACGATCTATATATGTAAAATCAACTAGCAACAAAGTTATGGCTTGGTCAGCGAGTATTAGCTTTGGATTTCAAATCCTGATACATCAGGACACAACGGCATTCACACACTTACGGCGCTATAGAGAGAGAGAGAGAGAGAGGCAATTAGATCTAACCATTCACCCAGGGGGACACTCACCGACAGCTGAAATTTGTAGGGGAAATGGATGGGAAGGAAGGAAATGGGAGATGGTAGGGGGGGCGTATAGGAGGGACTGTGCGCTTAGAGATCACATTTAAAACGCACGGTCAATTAATGTCACACACGGAGCTCATCCATCAGTGGATGTTGCTGCTGTTGCTGCTGCTGCTGCTGGTGGTGCTGCGTGGTGGCTGCCACAATCACTGGCACTGTGGGCGGGGTGGGCACCACCAATCCACCGGCTGTGGTTAGAACGGTGGTCATGCTTTGATTATGATGATTCTGCAAATGTTGCTGATGTGTTACCACGTGCTGTTGCTGTTGCTGTTGTTGCTGCTGCTGCTGCTGATGCGACTGATGCTGCTGCGAGGGGGAATGCTGCTGTGCCTGCGCCTGGGTCTGCTTCATGCAACTCTTTTTGGTCAGAGTCCCGCACTGATTGCCCAGCACTTGCAGGGCATGCGTTGGTGGGACACCACCGCCACCGCCCCCTGTATCCTGCATCGTTTTCATGTGCTTCGGCGGGGGCGGGGCACGATGCGGAATGTCGGCGAATTCCGGAGGCGGCAGCTGGTGATGTTGCATGGCATGATGATGGGATAGGATCGTCCCGGGGTCGCTCTTTGCATGGATTGTCAGCGTCTCGAGGTCCCCGCAGATGCTGTTCGGAATCTGGCCATTCTCCTGGCGCTTCAGCTTTGTCTGCGGCCGGGGCTCGCTCAGACGCGTCTTATCGCGCTGGTAGTAGACGCCCGCAAAGATCAGGACATTGAGGATCAGCAGGGAGCAGCCGATGGCAATGGTGACACTCAGCGCCGTGGAATACGCCGCAAAGCCATCGTTGTCCTGCGAGGCACTGGCCGCTCCGCCGGCCGCATGGTCCGGGTCCATCATGTCGTCGGGATAGATCTTATTGCCGCCGTAGCGAGTGCCGTTCCGCTGCAGAGAGGACGAGGGAGAACTGAGATTCAGCAGGGAGAACACTTGATTCGTGAATATCGTAAAGTTTCCCATTGCCGCCGCATTGGCAGCCCTCGAGGTGTAGGGGGGATTCAGGGGTTTCACAGAGGCATCGTTGGGGATATTGTTGTCCTCATCGTCTTCGTCGTGCAGCTGATGATGGGCTGCCGGGACATTGTCGCCCCCCGGCTTGTGCAGATCCGGTATGAGATTCAGCCAAAACGATAGACGATGTGCCCGATAATGGTTTTTGAGCTTTGGTTTCGTGTCTGGAAATGGAGAAAAAAATCACGAAAGTGGGGTTCAATTTAGTATGATTTATTTTGGGGAGAAATCGATAGGTTTCGAAGCGGTAATCGAACTGTTTATCGTAATATTTATCGAAAATTGTATCTAAATAGTTATCGAAAAAGTTAACAAAATGTTGTTGAATTTTGTATTGATATTTTTATCTAAATGGTTATCGAACGAGCCAAACAACATGTTATCGATGCATTTATCGATATTGCTTTCAAAATTGTTATCTAAATGGATATCGAACGCGATAAAAACATTTTATCGAAATACGTATCGAAATGTTGTATCAACAGAGATAAACAACGTGTTATCGAATCATTTATCGATACTGTTATCGAAGTTGTATCTCAATTGTTACCGGACGAGCTTAACAACGTGTTATCGAAATATTTATCGATATTGTAATCGAAATTGTTATTTAACGAGCTAAGCGAGGTGTTATCCAAATTTGTATCGATATTTTTATCGAAATTGTAATGGTTTCGATTGATTTCGAAGTATTTATCGAAATTGTGAACAGAACTTTTATCGAAAAAGTTATCTAAATATCTGAATAATAATATCGAAATAATTATTGAAATTATCGGTGTATCTATCGAAATAATGACTAAAATAGTTATTAAAAGAATTATCGAACTAGTTATCGAAATAGTTATTAAAAGTAATAAACTAATTGTGATTGGCCTTTTTATCCAAAATTTAATGAAAATTCGTATCGATAAATTTATCGAAAATCTATAAATTTTTTAAAAATTCCAAATAAATCCAAATACTAACCAAAATTCAGGTATTTCTTGTGCACACTCTCGTACGCCGTCCACTCGATGGTCTTGTAGCGACTCCTCTCCTGTCGACTGCTGTGCTCCGTTTCCATTTGTTCATTTGGATTGCTGCATCGCGAGGGAGGGAGAGAGGTAGAGGGAGATTGGAAATTCAGTTTCCGATGAGGGACTGCCTGCCACTGCCACCGCGTGGGCCTGTGCCATTTACTTACCCTGTGCGCACAAAGTTGGCCCAGTAAAACATGACCACCTCCGATAGACTGATTTCGGTTTTCGTGTAGTTGCGCGTGAAATGATTGAAACCGCCAACGAGCGGTGCCCCAAAGATATATGGCAGGTCCTCGCCGTGGATGCAGCCCTGACGCTGCAACAGAGGAGGGAGGGAGGGAGGGAGACTCAATTTAGTAGCCACTTGCCCTGACCCTTGATGCACTAGGCTGCCCAAAACTCACCTGCGGATAGTCCCCGAAGCGCGTCTGATAGTCGAAAACATATAGATACGAGTTTCGATGATCTGCCGAATGCAAATCCACAGTTTGTGCTGCCGGTGCCACAACCTGGGCATCGCTCAAAGCCTCCAGTGTTTCGTCGCTGCAACAACAACAACAAAAAAAGAGGGGCATTAAAATCAAATAACAATTTTCCCAACCACCTCCCCAGGACCGATGCAATTTTCCGGCTATTTTCCCGCATTACCTCGGCAGATGCCACTCTGCCACTCTGCCGTTCTGCCATCGAGAGTTTTATGCTCAAGTGTGCATCTAACAAGCCACTTTTAAGGGCTGCCACTTTGAATACCTGTTTACCCCCGGAAAGGAGAGCGGCAGCAGTCCTCGGCGAAGGACTAAGCCTATTTCGAGACTGATTTGCTGCATTTCTATCTCTCTTTCCTTTTTTTTTTTGGGGGGATTGCAGAAAAGCGCAACAAATTTGAATAAAAACCATTTGCCGGATATTTCGCCCGCTCGGAAAAATGCACATACATTTTCCTGCGGCTGTGGCAGGGCTTTAATTTTTCCCCTGGAAAATGTTTACTAAATGTGGCTTCAATAATTGTGGACCCCCCAGGAGGAGCGCCATGCCACGGGTCTCTGATGAAGCATGAAACGTTGCAACTTAACGCACGTCTGCACACATTTCCGTAGCCCAAAAAGAAAATCTTTGGGAAATCAATTGATATTGAAATGTAATTCCGCATAAATTATGCAAACACAGAAACACAAAATTGCAAAATCAAATCGAAAGCATAAATATTGATTGGAAATGTAAGGAATTTTCCATAACACTTTTGTGCCTCGTGTGCAACAGAATGCAGACATTTTCGAGGGAAAATCTGAAAAACTGCAGCATTATTTATGAAGATTGGCAGTCGGGCGACGGGGGGTGGGGGCCCCCCTCCGATTTGCATAAGATTGAAATCAAGATTCATTCAAAGCCGCTTTAATTGAAAATCTCACACGCTCCGCCGCTCCATTGCTCCACTGCTCCATCGCTCCATCGTTCTCCAGGACATGCCATTGCGCATTTAATTAAGAAGGAAATATTTATTCGGCATCCAGTCCGTCTTTCCTACCTCTTTTTTCGGTTGTTGCAGGGGGAGGGGCATGCCGCATGCCGCATGGGGGACACATACAAACGCAATTACTCACCGGATATTAATTGGATGCTGGACGGGCCTCTCCCAATCCGTGTACTCGTTGACAATCGTTGCGAATATCTCGTTCAAATGAAACGTGTACGTGTTCCTCACGTAGGCCTTTAAAATTCTCGACCTTCGATCCGCCTCGATGCCGTATTGCACATCGCCCGAATTGAAGCTGAAAAAGGCCTCGGCACGTGTCACCCCGGCCATCAGGTCGTATCTGTGTGGGAGGGTTAAAAGCGTGAATAAATATGAGGAATATTCACCAGCAGGAGGGATAAGTATGGGCGCGAAAGTGCGTGAGGGGCGAAGGTGTGACCTGCCTGTTTGTTAACCCTTTCTGGTAGCCGGCAGTTCGAGAGGGCTTTATCGCTTTTTTTTATTTTTAGAGATTTACTTTTCATTTATTGATATTTGTTATATCTAAAAAAGGTGTCTTTTTAAATTTGTTTTTGTGTTTCAATTTTATTTTGATTATTTCTCTTTTTGTTTGAGAAAATATACATATAAAAATAACAACAAAAAAAAAACAAATAAGAATAAAAATAAAATTAATACAAATTTACAATTTTTTTATTATTATTTCTTATTTTATATTTATTAATTTATTTATTATTTTTAAATTTATTTATTTATTATTTTTTAAAAATTTATTTATGTATTATTTTATTTTTAAATTTATTTATTTATTATAACCTTAACATTTATGTATTTATTACTACTTTTTTTTTATTTCTTTTTAAATTGTTTTAATAATTTTTTGTTTGTTCATTTTGCATTTTTATTTTTTGGATTTTTTGTATAAAATATATGTATTTTTTGTATTATTATTTGATATTTATTTATTTTTATTTAATTTTTTTTTTTAATTGTTATTGTTGTTGTTATTATTGTTATTTGTTATATTTATATTTAATACTTTTTTCGTCTTTTCTTTTTTTTTAGTTTTTTTTAGGTATTAATATTAATTTGTTGTAATTGTAATTAATTATTAATTTTAAATTTTATTTTTATTTTTTATATCTATTTTTTCTTTGTTAACATTTATTTCCCTTTATCGCTGCAGCCACAATAATGTCTCTTCCTGAAAACTTTCTCTGGCAACCAGTTCCCATTCATTTGTTAGACTCCTTGACCCTTGAACCCCCCCCTCCCTGGCTCCTGTAACCGCACACTTGGAGCAACTGCCCCCCACTGCATCGTTCTCTCTGTCTGGGAGAAGCTTCTCTATGGTCATTCGAGTGCATTTTCCTCATTTTAAGTGTATATTTTCCCTCCTACATTTTCGTGGCTTATTTGCTTGGGCGATGCAGGAGAGATATCCAAAGAATATTTGGTAAATTTTGTGTTTGCTCTTTGTGTGTGTGCCATCTGTTTAATGGAATTCCTGCAGAGGTAGGGCTCTGTAGTGCTCTTCTGTGTGTGTGTGTGTGTGTGGGGAAGGAAATGCTTTTAAACTGCACACAAACGAAATATTTATACTCGGTTTCCGGAGCAGTCCTTTGCCACACTGACTAATAGCCTCTTGGGCATTGATGGGACACCCTGCAGAAGCAGGAACCAAAAACCAGAATCCCAGATAAGTCCAGGATGCAGATACAAATAAATTCCTAGTTAAACGAAGAATGCCCGCCACTGTATCCCTGGGATATCTGGGGCTCAAAGGGTTCAAAGAGTTCCATCATGAACTATTCATTCGATTGAGTTTTCTGTTAATTCTAAACCCGAATTGAATTTCAGTAACCCAGTTTTAGGTCTCGACAATCAAAGCGTGCCGCACATCAATTATGTGAATCGCAGCTCTAATTAGCTGTTAATAATATATATATTAACATTTTGTAAAATGGCCTCCAACACACACACACAAAGTGCATAAATCAAGTGGCACCGCAGCCCACACACAATGGCCGCCCGAGGGGGCCGGCCAGGTCTTTGCGTGCCTAATGTGCATTAATTAATTACACTTGCAGTCCAGGTAGGAGGCAGGGGGCAGGAGGCAGGAGGAGAGTGTATGTTTAGCCCTTATCGGTGGCTAAACTAACGACACTCTTGAACGCCAGATAAAGGGCAGGCAGCCCCAACAACTTTGCCGAAAAGAACGAAAGTCGCAACGAAACTTTAAATTAATTATGTGGCATAGAGAGGGCTCGGGTTTCAGGTAACACAGTGGCTACACGACAGGGTGGACGGACACGGAGAAGAGGTGGATTGATGGATATATCTTTAAGCCAGGAAGAGAGCTATAGACATAGCCAATGCTATACGGAAGACATAGCACTCCTTGAGAGCGAATTTCGCGTTAATTTTGAAGAATTTCTAAGAAAGAACCTCACTCCAGGCACGGGTCTTAATTACGTGTAATATACATGTCACATGTATTTAACACGTGTATATGTAATGTATCATGAATGTTCAGTAATTTTACATGTAAAAATGGGAATAGTCGCCTGTAGAATGTAAAATATATGTAAATGTAATGTAAAACGTATGTCAAAAAGGGCATGTGGCTCGACAAAAACGTTCCAAATGGTTTTCCTCATTCTGTCTGTAATAATCATACGATCTTAACTATTTTTGGAAAATGGTTAGATAATACCATTATCTATAGCTGCGTTACCACTCCGGCTCTATATTTTATTGATTCCTGAATGATTAAACCCATAAACTCTGTCATCTGTTGCCACTTTCGAGTCGAACCTTCTCTCTATTAAATTTTCACTCTATCGAGCTGCTACTGTACTCAAAATGGGATGTTTATGATGGACGTGTGTGTGTGCAAGTGTTGAGGTAAAAATAATTAAATTCCCGCCTGGTCCAGTGCCGTGCCTTGGCTTCGGCTTCGGCTTTGCCTTTGGCCGACAACTTACCTTGACAACTTGTTAATGGCAGTTTTTCTCATTAATACTGCATTAATTAAAAACAGTCCGTGCCATGTGTGTAAAGTGGCAGCAGAAAAAGCATTAAAAGAAGGAAAAAATATACGAGGGACGGAATTATAATTTATTTTAATTATGCAAGGGAAATATATATGCGTAAAAAAAGGGCATCTGTGATATTAATATCTCACCGATATTCTCCAGTTGTCCGGGCGTGCCCCAGCCTCCGGCAGCGGCAATACCCGCCTCCCCGCCGAGGCCATTCCCGGCGGCCGTGGAGGCCTGCGCCTGGGCCTGAGCTGCCGCCGAGCCCGGCGCCGGTGGCACATAATCTCCGCCATCGATGACCACTCCGTCGATGCTCGGCCCAAAGGCGAAACCGAACTCTGGCGGACGTATGGGGACGCTCAGCAGTTGCTCGAGCGTCTTCTCTCGCAGGCACTTCATCAGATGGGCGTGCGGCAGGTCCGAGGCGCAGTTCACGTGGTGGGCCACGACGGCGGCATATTTCGCCGGATTGCTGACCAGCGACCAGGGTGCCAGCCCCGAGCCGGACATCAGGATGGCCCGATTGAAGAGCAGGCCTGGCGAGTGACAAGAGAATGGCAGGGATTTCAAGCGAAATGTCTTGTCAGAGAGAGAGTGGGAAGGGGGAACACTACTTACCCTCTGGCACGGCCATTGATGAAATGAGAAAGTGGACGCACGCCGCCCCAGTGCCGTGTCCGGCGAGGGTTATGCTGTTCGGATCCCCGCCAAAGGCAGCAATGTTCTCCTTGAGCCAATGCAGTGCGGCAATGATGTCCATCAGGCCATAATTGGCCGGCAGCTTCGAGTATCGGTCCGTGTTGGCATTCAGGAATCCTGCAAAAAGGAATACCCACACACATTCATAGTTTTTTCGTCACATAATCGATGATTCGGTTGCTCGTTTAATGCACATTTAATCGATTCTGAGCAGTCGTGCAGTCAGTCGGTTATGTCGTCCGTTGCCTATTTAAAATGTCGAAACGCAATGGCAGGCGGTAGGCGGCAGGCGGCAGGCGGCAGGCGACAGGCGACACTTTTTCACTGCAAAGTCACGCGTGCAAATCATGATGTCAGCACTTCCGTTTCCTCAGCAACACCAACAGCTACAGCGGTGGCAGCAGCGGCAGGAGAAGCGGCAGCAGCAAACGAGTGGATGGAGCGTCCAAATGAGGTCGCCACTAATTTTGCCTGTGCTTTTGAATTTGCACAGTGTTTCGGGGTCACACAGTGGCGAAAAGGTGATTTGTTGGAGAGCAAATTTTCCAAGATATTTGGTATTTTCGTGGGGACATATACGAGCATAAAAATGAGCGCTAAACATACAAGACTTTTCTTGGATTTTTTCAGTATTATTTTGAATACACTCTACGTTTTTTTGTTATTTTTTCTAGAATTTTCTGGTATTTTCTGATAATTTTCTGGTATTTGGTATTGGTATTTTCTGGAATTTTTGATCAGTATTTTCTGGTATTTTTCAATATTTTCTGTTTTTAGTATATTTGGTATTTAATATGGAATTTAACTGGTATTTTTCGTAGTATTTATCAGTTTTACTCGGAGAAGTAAAATCTAGAACTGTATGGTATTTTATATGGTATTTTACTGGTCTTTTTCTAGTATTTTATGGTATTTTTACTGGTATTTTTCTAGTATTTTTTCCTATTCTCTCTCGTCAATCTTAAATGTGTAATTTCCCAATAATTCCAAGATTTTTGCATGTTTTTGAAAATTTTAAAGCATTCCTTCCCTTGTTGCCGCAGCCTGGAACCACTGTATCCTGTGTAGATTTTTGTATGCCCGACTGTAACTAAATTAGTTAGATTATGGAATAAATGTACGCCTCATTGCTGCTGCCATTGTTGCTGCTGCTTTCGTAGTCGTTGGCTGCTTCTGCTGTTGTTCAACGGAAGTGCAGTTGATGTTGCAAGAGTGCTGCTGGCATCCTGGCACTGGCACTAGGACTGGGTTAAAAGCCGCTGCTCTGCACAGTCGATTGGTTGGCGGCACGTTTGCCTCATTGCACCGACCACCGCCACTCCACGCCCCACCACTCTGCCGTCGTTCGTCGTTCATTCGTTGTCGACTGTCGTTCTCTGGTCATGCACTCAGCATATCAATTAGCATTAGGATTTGAGTGTGCAGAGCACTTACCCAGCACTCCGAGGCGATAATTTATGGTTACCACCAATATTTGTCCATAGCTTGCCAGAACGGAGCCATCGTACGGATTGCCGCTGTTCCATTCATATGATTCGCCATGGACAAACACCAGCACAGGATATTTTGTGGGATTTCCACTGCCCGACGACGAGGAGGAAGACGACGACGATGAGGAGGAGGAGCCGGAACTGCCGCCAGAGGAGGAGCTGCCACTGCCCGTGGAATCCCGGGAACCAACTGCAAAGGCAAAGCAGAAGGAAAATATGTTAATTGACAGATCAATGCAGAAAATAAAAAATTGATTCTCCTTCCTTCCGTCGGATGGCATTCCCGTGTAATATTTCAAGGCTAAATAATTGTACGAAAAGATTTACACGACGAATAAGAGAAAAACCCACAACCCGAACCCAAAGCCACCGTGTAAAGCCCATAAGCCTTGTCCATTAATCAACTGGATCTGCTGTTTCTCTATATTCTCCAAGGAAAATACTTGCCAAGGTAAACAAGGCCCTAAATCAGCCATCAGCCAGGTCGACAAAAACGCAAGACAAATGAGCGTCTAAGCCTCTGAAAATAGGCAAATTATATTCGTAAACAACTCTTTTTCCTCCTCGTGTGACGAAAAGAAAAGCCAAAGTCATCGATGGAGCAGCACCAGGCCCTTCAGATCTAGTGGTTCTTTCCTAATCTGAATGGACACGTTTTCCAGCTTAAGGCAAAGGCTTCTCTTTCCAGAGAGAGTGGGAGAAAACAATCATTGGATTGGATTTGGAGACCTTTCTTTCCTGCTGGCGTGTGTGGAGTGTGTGGAGAAAGTTTTGGCGGAGGATTAAATGGAATGAAGAGTGATATATGGGATGTATAAGGGATAAAGAGGGCATTGAGAAGGGCTCGCTCGAAATTCAGGGAACATATTTGAAGAGTGTCTCTCCATGAATTTAAAATAGATTAATAAACACTTATAGCATTCTGTATTTTTCAGATTTTTTACTAGAATTTTTTTGTATTATCCGTTTGGTATTTTTCTAGTTTTCCTAGTATTTTCTGTTATATTTATATTCTCAGTATTTTAGTATGGTTTAAGTAATTTTCTGGCCTTTAGTATTTTATGGTATTTTTCGAGTTCAGTAACTTTTAAGTATTTTTCTGTTAATTTTGGTTCCAAATTTTCGGGTATCAATAGCAGTCTATTATTTTTTTAAAGTATTATTTAAGTATTTTTTTGGTATTTTTTTGTATTTTTCTGGTATTATTTTGGTATATTTTTTTTGTAAATTTCTAGTGTTTTTGGTATTATTTATGATATTTTTTCTAGTATTTTCCTGTTATTTATTCTAGTATTTTTTCTTGTATCAGACCTAATTTTCTTCGGAATCTTACAGTTTCTTTTATAGTATATTTTTTTTTTAGTATTTTTGGCTATTTTGAAATTTGAGCTTTTTAAACAGAATTTAGAGGGAAAGCACAGCTTAACAGGGAATCTATTTCTTGGAGAATAAAGACAAGGCTATCCATAATGTTTCCTTATATAAAATCTCACTTTAAAGCAAAAACTCGAAACCAAATTCCCAAAGAACACACGAAAACTGCAAACAGAAATCCATCCAAGGAGGATAGCGCAAGAGGGGGCTTGCAGGGCGGTGGCTGCATCTTTGTTAGAGATATGTACATATCGTCATGTATCTGAGCGAGTGCATGGCTTGTATCTGACATCAGACGTTGCTCCCACCCGCCCCCACCCCTCTTTCCACTAGAAGTATAACAAAAGCAAGCACATGGAAAGTTCTCTCCGCTCCTTTCTTCTGGGCTGGAACAAAAGAACTTGCTTATCAAAGCGGAAAAAGAGTTGTAAGGGTGGGAGGATTGGGTGCGGGGGGTGGTGGGGTTGGGTGGGGAGGCAGGGTTAGGATGTGGCTGAAGAAGTGCCACCAAACGAGGCACCAGGAAACCAAGTTACTGTGTCACTGACTTTTATAAATAGCGCGAACAAAGAGACTCGTGTGGCAGACACAATGAACGGAGGATGGCTGCAGAGGAGGGGCAGGCGAGAATGGGAGTATCAATGTCAATATCTATATAAAAATCTTCACACTTTCAGGAGCTAATTCAACGCCTGGTATGGGGAGAATATTCTAGGGAAATATTCTGGGGAAATAGAAAACATTTTGTAGCCCAAGAATTTGGCCAAGTATTTTAACAAATTACCACGCCACAAAATGGCCAACAATTTCGGGCCAATTTCTGTATTAATTCGGGGCGGGAAAACTTTACTAACTGCAGCCTATAAATGCCTTTGGTTTGCCACAAAAATTGGACAACAAAAAAAGGTTTCCGCAAAGTGTGGGGCAGGGGCAGGAACGGGGGAGGCATGTTTCCAAGCAACATGCAAACAGCATTTAAAACTTTTCTGCAAGTAAAAACTTTTGTTGTCATTTCAGCATAAAATGGGCGACATTTCTGTGTGCGTCTGCATGTTGCATGTGCCCCCAAGGAGGGGAGGAATTAAACTTTTATGACTGGGCCCCCCTCCCAACCCCCGAAGAAGAAGGAGTACAGAAGAAAGTCAAACCAGTGATGAAGGGGGAAGGGGGTGAAATCCCGCCCCTCTCCCCCGTACAAATGTCGCTAGTTTTTCCCCCGGAAAGAAAGTTTCCTCTGGCATAATTTTGTGTTGCGAAAATGTAAATATATTTTGTACATATGACATTTCGTGGCAGAGCGATGACTTTTGTGGCAGGGAGGGGTAGGGGGTGGTGTGGCATCTTGTTAATAAGTTGAAACATGTTTTAATTTACAAGGATCCAATGCGCTGCTTTGGGAAAACCCTAATCCCTGCGCCCCTAAATTGGCGGTGGCATTTGCCACACACTGTGTGGCAGGCAGTGGAAAGTTTTGTGTCGACAGTTTTCTGGTGTATTTTGACTGGCATAAATTTAATCATATTTTCGGAGCGGGATTGCGGCATGTGGCATGCCCCCATTTGGCAGAATTTTTGGGCGGCAACGAGTTACTAAATGGAACTAATGTGATTGACAGGAAAGGAATCTCCAAAGAGAGTTCCCGAAACATTCCCGAAATGATTGCGCAAAATTGCTTAAATTATGGAAGAGCTTTACCATGATTTTCGTACATTCTTTAAAAATTTTCCTAGAATTTTGAATGGAAATATCTTTGATTTCAAAGGAAATTTATTTTCAAATTTTTTTTTGGGCTTGGTAATATTACTTGGTATATTTTCCATTGAAAATCCCTCTAAAGTAGGCCTCTCTTTCCTCAAAAAAATAATATGTGCAATTTTCCCGCAAACAAACGCAAATCTCTTGGGTTTTCCTTTCTTTACTTTCGTTGTTTGATCATAAAATTTGTCTGCCATTGAAATTCATTTTCCAAGTTTAGTTTTGCTTGTTTTGTGGCCTCTTGCACACACCACACGAAAACACACTCGAAAACACACTAAAATGGAAAGAAATCCCCTCAAATAGAAAGAAAATCTAAGAAAAATAGAAGGAAAACCCAAAAGAAAAGGCCTTCAGGCAACCCAAAAAAAAGTAGGTGAAATCAATATCCTCCAACTCATTTTCCTGCTGCTCCTGCCTCCCCCTCCCTAGCCCAAACAATTGCTAGTTGTGTTCGATGCTGAAAGATGCCCCTGCCGCTGCCCCTGCCCCTTGCACCTTGCCGCACGCTCTCAGAACACATAGAAAAATGTAGTTCATTTCGTTTTATGGCAGCAAGAAAATTTCATTTCGTTCGAGCTTCAAGTTTAGTGTCGCCTTTTGTTACAGTAGAGATTTTGTTGCAGTTGCCTAACAGTACAGTGAAGGCTCGTTAAAGTGGGAAACACTTTAAAGGTGGGAAATGTATTTTGTGGATCTGTGGACAATCCTTCTCCAAGGAATACTATTTGTTGCTGGAATAGACCACCCAAAGGAGGGTTATGGCACGAATTGTGCTATATTTTCTATTAAATAAATTGTATTATTTATTTAAAATTTATTAATTTTTATGGAATTTTCATTTATTTTTTGGTTTTTAATTTGAATATAATTTTAGGAATCTTTGAACTGAGGAAGAAAACAATTAACCCCCTTCGTATCCCCTTCTGCCGCTCACTCTCTCTCTCTCTCTCTCCCAGTGTGTCTTAGCAGTAAGGGCTGGGCTTGCAGAAAAGAGAGAGCGCATCACCGCATTTTATTTATTTTTATTATTTTTTTATAAAATATTTTTATTTATTATTTATTTATTTTTTTATTTTTATTATCTTTTTATTTTTTGTTGTATGGATATTATTAATTATATTTTTTGTTATGCAATATTTTTATTTTATTTTATATTATTTTTATTATTATATTATTGTTTTATTTCATATTATTTTTATATTGTTTATCATTTATTTGTATCATATATTGTTAATTATAAATTATTACTATCTTTTTATTTTGTCGTATTTTTACTTTGTCTATCATTTCTTTTAATCTTATTTATTTTTATAAATAATTTTTCTTTGTATTATTATTTAATGATTTATTTTTATTATCTCTTCTATCCTTATCATCTCTTTATTAAGTTCTTACCTTTTTCTGCTCTATTTTTTTTTTAACTTTTTTTTATCACCTATCGAGTCTCCACTGTCTGTGTTTTTCCCTTTTGGCTGCCACAGGTTTTTTTCACACAATTTAAAGTGTTTGTCCAACATATACTATTCTCCGTGTCTGCCTCTGCCTCTGCCCTTTGCCCCTTGCCTTCTCCTTCAATTTATTTTGTTGTTTCTATTTGGATTTTTATCGATTTAATAAATTGCAGAGTTGCTCTTTGCTCTCCTTATTTTTTTCTGTGTGTCTTCAATTTAAGGTTCAGTGCGCTTTTTGCTGAGAACAGAAGAGTTTTTGGTTTTTGCTGCAGTTTTCGGTGGAGTTTTGCAGGTGACACAGTTTTCACAGTCACGTAGCCTTCCATCATCCTTTTTTATGGCCATCATTTTTCAGCAGTTGGTAGTAAATTTTTCGGATGCTTTTAATGCATCAGAAAATCGCAAACTACGGAAATATTGATTTCTCCTGAATTGAAACTTTTTTTTAGTCAGGAATTGAACTGTTTTTCGCTCCTGAATCCAAACTGTTTTGACGTTTATTTCATATAGTTTTTTTTAGTAAGATTTTTGTGCTGTAAAATGCATTTTCAGTTTTTTTTCTATTATTAGTTTTGCCCAAGATCTAAAATTTTTCTTTTATTTTTTC